CGGGCCACTAAGGCCCGCAGTCTTGCCACGAGGTCACCTGTACGAGTAAAGACTTGGAAAAGCTCCGGGTCAGACACAAACGAGTGCGCTGTGCAGGGGCTCCTCACAGCACCGCTCTGCCGCGTCCTGTCCCGTCGCGTGCACTGGGCACTGTGGCATGGCCCTGTCACCGCCAGCTCCTATGTCACCACATGTCACAAAGGGCCCTCTGACACCCTGTCCATTTCCATCCCATGGTGACCATGTGTCACAAAGGGCCCTTGCACACACTGCCACCTGCCCTTGGGCTGCCCCCATCCCCCCCAAAGTGGCCCAGGTTGGAAGGAATTCCTTGCCCAAAGTGTCTTAGACAGCCCAACAGGATCTTTAGGAACACCTCAAACCATCAGCAAATGCTGCCCTGCTCTGCAGGCTCAGGGCAGCAGAAGGAGCCCCCAGGGCTGCTGACGCAGCCACAGCAGGAAGGGCACGGGGCCTTGCACAGAATCTGTACAGGGGCCTGGCAGCACTGAAATCAGCAGGTCTGGTGGCAGAGTCCCCACTGAGGCAGACCTGCCACCCCAGCCGAGCCCTGGCAGTGCTGGTGCCCTTCTCCTGCCCCAGAGACCTGTGCCCCTGGGGGGTTTCTGTGCCAGAGGGCAGCCAAAGCCCACGTGCATTGGGGGCTGGGCTCCTTCCTGCAGGGGCTGTTGGCAGGAGCTCCTGTAGCTACTGCTGGCAATGCTTAGTCTTGGTCAGATTAATTACATGTGGGAATTATTTTCCCATTGATGTCATTTCCTGCAGCTATAAAACATCTTTGTGGGGAAGGCAGAGAAGGATCTGGCATTTAAGAATCCTCAATTCATGAGAGCTTCCCCATTGCTCAACTCAAGAATTTCCTACAAGTTGCAGACTTCAACAATTAATTGGAATGGCCAGAGAATGTGAAAGAGTTGCAAGTTTGCTTCCCATCTCAAAGCAGCAAGTCCTTTGCCTTAACATCATCCATTGAGAGTCATTTTACAAAATAAAGCACTACACAGAGGCTAAAAAAAGGCCATTCTTTCGTTTGCAAACCTTTGCTTTTCTATGGAGGGATGATAATATCCTAATTCT